TCGATCGACCCTGGCACAAAGCGATTCTTTCGAAGCTTCCTTCCTATGGGCTTTCCGAGAAATTGTGCAATTGGATCACCAGTTTTCTGGCTGATCGGAGCATCAAGGTCGTAGTAGACGGTGCATGCTTCGATTAGAAGCCTATTAACGCTGGTGTTCCACAAGGCTACGTGGTATCACCAACGCTGTTTCTTCTGCATATCAATGATATGCAGAAGAAACAGCGTTGGTGACTGGACAAACCGGTAATATACTGTTCACGCCCAAACCCTGGTTTCAAGATTTGACGCCGGAGGGCGCTCGGCTCGGTGCCATACCGGTTTTGACGTTCGGGCGAGCGGAGTGGGTTTGGCAGAGAGCGCGAGCGCAGAACGTGAGTGCAACGGGAGTTGCTTGAATGCAGTGCTGTCGATCGCACGTCGTGAGGTCGCCCGGGATAACCTCCATTTTTCAGAGTCGGTTTTGTTAGCAAATTAATGCAACGACGAGGTTTTTGTTAAGTCTAGACAAATAGGCGCCGGTTTGATTAATTATTTAGAATTAATATTGATTGCGACCAACGTCCGGTTTTTTGACGCGTGTGGAATTTACTATTGGAGTTTTAGCTTCTAGTTTGCGTATCCTTAGTGCGTTCACGCGATGACGAAACAGTAATAATTTGATGGATTAACCTAAAACTTTGGGACTCGTGAAGAGATCGCGCTAGTTCCCGATTTGTAATTTGGTGATAAATGAATCCGGAATAGTGAATGTTGAACATTGAACTACTGTGCGTTACTTGAGTCGGTTAACACGTGTTCGATTCTCCAATGAACGTTGTATTAGTTGAGTTGAAGTGAGTTAACTGTACAATAAAGGTTGATAGACTGAAATAGTGACATGAAGAAAGAAATCAACCGTGGGTGACGCCGCTGGAGATTACCACAATTTAGAGCGGTGCCGGAGTCAGGGTTGCTGCCGACTTCAACGGTCCAGTCAGGTCAACCACAATTCACACCACTAAAAACACCACTACACATTCACCTACACACCTTCGGCCTGACCGAACCTTTGGGGCAGTCTTCGCTTCAAACCCAGGTACGTACTATTAATTTGACTAGCCTTCTCCCTATAGTGTAGTAGGATAGGATAAGTTTTCCATATGGCCATTAGGGCTCGAACCCGCGGCTGCCCGTTGAATCTTCCGCTCATGGGCCCCGGGATATTCTAACTTTGCAGGGGCAGTTGCGGGCCGTAACATATACATTGCTATGCAGTTGACAGCACTGCATATAATGCTCTATACACCGGCCGTGCCAGTGTTTCTCGAGAAAACTTCGCCGAGTACCGGAACAAACTTGTGTCTGAAGTCGAGACTTTGTTGAACAAAGTCTCGGATTGGGGGTGACTAAATCTAGTCCAGTTCAATCCCCAGAAGACACAAGTTTGCGCGTTTACCGCCAAAAGGAACCCCTTTGTCGTATCTCCTCAGTTTCAAGGCACTCCCCTTGTTGCATCAGCTAGTATCGGAATCCTCGGCGTTGACATATCGAGTGATGTGCAGTTTCGTGGTCACTTGGAAGAGAAGGCCAAATTGGCCTCTAAAAAGCTTGGCGTGCTCAGCAGAGCGGGACAGTATTTCATGCCGGCACACCGCCTGCAACTTTACAAGGCGCAGGGTCGGCCTCACATGGAATACTGGTCCTATCTCTGGGCAGGGGCTCCCCAGTGCCAGCTCCTTAAGGACCTTCAAGAAAAGAGCCTACTCCTTTTTAAAAAGGCCGCCAAAGCATCTGCAATTCCCCTGGTGTTGCAGTTGTTCATGGGCGGCGGTAGTCACTTACTATCAGGTGAGCCGCATGCTCGTTTGCCCCCTCTCCTATAAAAAAAACACCTCGGAGGCTGCCCCACAGCCTTTAAATTAATCTCTTTAAAAATCGAAACAAATGGTAAGAATGTATATAATATATATCGTAATATTCTAAACAGACGGAATTCGTAACCGTATGAATATATTTTTTGTGCAAGCAGTTTCGCAGGTCTTAAACCAGTATTACGCCCAGAAAGATCTTGTGATCGCTGCTATGACTATAGTTTACAGCTAAGCCCTATGATCTTCAATCTTAGGTATATTAGTAAAATGTACAACATGTAGTATTTCTTGATTCTTCACCGTGGATCCGTGGATGAATATAGGTTCTAGGTCTTTAAGCGTTTAAACGGCTATTACACGCCTAGGCAAGCGTCAATCAGTTCGATCAATCATGATTGATGTATGAATGATAGAATAATTTCATTTCATTTTGGCATTTTCAGCACCAGCCCATATATGGCAGCAATACTCCATGCACGACCGGACTTGCGCTTTATATAAAGTAAGCAGCTGCCCCGGCGTGAAGTATCCCCGCACCTTTGCAAGGACTCCCAGCTTCCTTACAGCTGCTTTGGCCTTGGTCTCAATGAACCGCCCGAAGTTCAGATTTGAGTATATCTCAAACCCTAACCACTAAAGGCGGTCTGTATATTCCAGTGATACATTTCGGAAGGATCCTTCCTTCCGAAATGTATCACTGGAAAATACAGACTGTGAGATTCACACGCTCTACCATAGCTTCTCTTTCGGAATGGATTTGATCCCGACTGTCCCGAGGACTTGGTTGGTATCTTTCTACAACTGTGCTATCGTCTGCATTCGCATAGATACCGGGCATAAGCAGATCATTAATATGAAGCAGGAAGAGAGATGCGGAGAGAACGGATCCCTGAGGAACACCGGCGTTAGTCGCCATAAGATCGGATGAGCAGCCATCGACGATGACCCAGAGAGACCGTTCACTCAGAAAGTCCTTTACCCATTCAATCAGACCAGGGGATAATATACCCTTGCCCCATACGTGTGTGGCATACGCTAGAAGGTCCCCAGCTGACCGATTTCGGCGAAACCCATATTGCCGGTCACTAAAGGAGGTTATTCTGTTCTAGGTATGCCATTAAGCGGGCGTTCAATATGCGCTCCATAATCTTGCAGAGTATGGAGGTAATTGAGATTGGCCGATACTTGGCCTTTGATTTGCTGATGATATAGTTCTTATGCAGAACCTAAGCACTATGCTCAATGACCTCAATAGTGTCTCCCAACGGATAGAATGGACATGGACAAAACAAAGATCATGTTTAATGTTCATGTATGCCTATGTATATCGGTAGTTGTTGGGAGCACTAAGCTCGAACTTGGTGACGAATATGTTCACCTGGGACAAATAGTCCGACTAGTTAAGTCCAACTTCGACCACTGCTCAAACATTCTCGACAGTACAAACACTTCAGCACTTCGATATACCGACAGTCAAGCGACGGATTCAATTCGACTGGACAGCGTTCGGGAAATTACGACACATCTTCTCGTCAGATATAGGTACCTTAAAACCTGAAAACGAGATTGTACAACCAGTGCGTGTTGCCAGTGATGACTTGTGGATCTGAGACGTGGTCCTTCACTGCTGACCGTATGAGGATGCTCAAGGTCGCCCAGCGAGCCATGGAGAGGGCTATACTCGGGGTTTCTTTGCGTGATAAACTTAGAAATGAGGATATTCGCAGTAGAATAAGAGTAACCGACATAGCCTAACGGATAAGCAAGCTGAAGTGTCAATGGGCCGGGCATATAGCTCGAAAAACCGACAACCGACGGGGAAAAAAGGTTCTCGAGTGGCAGCTTCGTACAGGTAGGCGAAGTGTAGGGCGACCCCCCACTAGATGGAGTGACGACCTGGTAAGACTTGCAGGAAGTTGATGGATGCAGGTGACTCAGGATCGTGCTTTGTCGCATTCCTTGGGGGAGACCTATGTTCAGCAGTGGACTTGTGAAGGGCTGTAATGATGATGATGATGACACACACACGACTGGACGCCAGCCGGGAATAGTCGGATTGACATCTAGGGATGTGCAAAAAGAGCCATTCTATCTTAGTCTTCACGGCTGACAACGCATCTGCATTTTAATTCGCAAACGAAGATAGATGTAGATGTCTATGGGCCACAGCAACCAATTACCATCAGGTGGACTGTGTGCTCGTTTGTCACCCTAATTCTATAAAAAAAGGTAAATATACTATAAAATAATATATTACATATTATATTATAAAATTAACCTTTTACGTAGTAGAGACATGTTTTATTTGCGTTTACTGTATTTAGTAGGCCTTTTCAAGATTATTATAATACATATATGCATATATGTATGTCTACTCGTACAGGGTTATTTTTCAGAGTAGCCAAATTTTATACAAGTTCAAATATATAAATAATGATATACCGTTATTGTAGTTTTTGAAAATGCGAGTAAATAAGGATTCTACTTTTTTTTTAAATAATCCTAAATTGATTGTTATTTATGGTCAACAAGTACGCATATGCCAGCTTTTGTGTGCGAATCAATTTACAACGTTTTTGCCGACCGAATGTGTGCGTGCGTAGTAAAATAGTAGGCGTTAGATATTTATTTATGAATGACAATCAGTCAAAATAACCACCCATTCTGAATTTGTATTAAAAAGTACAATGTTTCAGGTTAAACACATCTGTTTATCACATAAGAACAATATACAGTTCGCTCAACAGTGATAAATAGTAAACAATTAACAAATATATAAAAAAAATCTGTGTTGTTGTTTGAGATATTTTTTAATTAATTTTTCTTCACCGTTCGCCTATATTATTTATTTTGAAACTTCTCTGCATATTTGACCGCATATTGCAATATAGGCACACAGGGTTATTATGTATGTACATTGTAAAAAATATCATATTACATAATTACAAAGAGGCTGTATTCAACGGCCTATTGGCATAGAAGAAAAAATTACCTTCACATTCAATCAATTCCATTTTCTAATTATACGTCACAAAGCGTTCATTTTAACAACAATCAAAATTTTATTTTACTAAAATAATGTGATCAATTTTAATATCAATACAAACACAAATTATTAGTATACAAAATAAAAAAAATATTCTTTAAAATGGGAACCTTACGATACTACAGCACATTAAGAAACTTTAATAATATCTTGGCTGTTAGCAATCAAAATCTTGGACTTGTCATGACTGGAGCTGGTAAAAACACTTTGTTTTTGTATTGATAAACACGTTTTATGTAAATGGTGTTTATGCCTTAAAATTAGGAGCAGTGGTAGTTCAGAGGCTAAGCGTTCGACATGAATGAAGTTGTTGATTGCAATTTGAAACTTATTGTACCAAAAATCATCTCCGAAATTAGAGGAGGCCTGTGGCCCGCAGTGTGGTTGTTTAGGCTGCAACTTTTTATTGTATAACCTTTGTATTGTGCTAAGTGGTAAACTCCTTACACCCAAAGCTTTAGACTAGACTTTCTCTAGAAATATGCATCTCACTTGCACGCAGTGCACTCACTGCCTGCATGTGTAACAGCTCTGACAATCTTCTAAAGAAATAAGTTATTGACTATGCAAATCCTACAATAATATGTAGGATTTGCATGAGTTATAATAAAGGCAGTAGAGATACCTACCATTACCAAGGCTTTGTGCTAAGCAATAGGTCTGCCCAATGCAATAAATATAGGCAGCTTTTAATTTTATGATTAAATTGCGTTTAATTATAGAGTTAGGGTGCTTACATAAAGAAACAGGTTTCCGGTACTGACAAATCTGTGCTGGTCGGTACCGATCGGTACTAGGTTAACCTACATAAAGAAACAGGTAAACCTGGCCTTATTGATAACCATGACCTCCAGGTCGTCGGACGACGATTTTTTACTTCCGTTAGTGTTAACAGTTAGTGTCTGTAATATTAACAGGAAAAGAAGAAAAATATGCGTCATATTATCATTTATTTATAAAAGTTTGATGAACACAAGTTTTATGATTATACCAGGATGGCACGAGAAACATTTAACTACATATAAAATAAAATAGAACATCGCTTAGTTAAAAGATGGTGTAACTGGCATGTTTAACCCATTTCACCCGAAGAAAAACTGCTGAGTTTATCGCGAGCGAGAAAAACGGTGGAATGTGCATTTGGTAGATTTTTTTTTAAAAACGACACCCCCACACTAGGATTTTCTCCTGTACCGTGGAGGCAGTTTACAAACACAAATTGCACAAGGACAAACATCCAGACAGATGATTATATTCAAAGTGTTTTTTGTTATCTAAAAGCATTGAAACTAGTATTGAACTAGTTGACAAAATCGTGAAAACTATGTGTTTGTTGCATAATATAAATAAAGAGGATATTGAGAGAAACTTGACTCCTATAAATTTTGTACGGCGAAGATGGCACCAAAGATTTAGTCCACCTTCAAATGTAGCTACAAACGTCAGAAGTAATTTTGTTCAATATTTCGGACATAATTACTTGTTGTACAATACCTAATTACTATTAAAAACTAATATGCAAATAAATCTATTTTTTATTATAGGTACTTACCATACTGTTTCATTTCCAAACTAATCTCTTTACAACACTTATCGGTGACATTTCTGTAGCTATGGAACTTATTTCTTTTGCCCCATAAAGGTTGTTTATCAAATACCAAGGCTATCAAAACTTCGTTATCCACATCCATTTTCATAAACATATACACCCTACACCGGCAAACGCAGGTAGTCGGTACCGACAAGTTTAAATCTGTTTCTTTATATGTGACCACATAAGATAACATAGAAATATTATACCTGCATCGATCGGTACCGACCAGTACAGATTTGTCTGTACCGGAAACCTGTTTCTTTATGTAAGCACCCTTAGGTGTTACTTTGCGGAAATCCATCATATTAACGTTGGTAAAAATTACGTTGCCTACATCCGTTTAATGAAATAATTAAAAATTAAAAATTTTGTACAACCGACATAATTTAATATATATATATATATATATATATATATATATATATATATATATATATATATATATATATATATATAAATTATTAAGAATAATTTAAAAAACTATTGGTCAGACCTTGATCACATTTATATGGGACCACATGTGAAGCACCAGCTTTCAAATTAAAAAAAATAATTGTCGAAATCGGTGCACCCAGTAAAAATTTATGAGGTAATAAAAAAACATACGGTCGAATTGAGTACCGTCTCCTTTTTGAAGTCGGTAGATAAAATGATGTGTCCTACCTAGTTTGAAGAGCGTCATTGAACCAACTTTAATAAATAGCATTTAATTTTTACTTACACGTTGAAGTAATCGCGTTTAATATTAACTTATATACATTAAAATAAAATGCGATCACTTGGATCGAATTAGCATAAGAAAAATATCTTTTTCTTATTTCTCCGTACTAGTAAAATTCTACTGCTTTTTATCCAGCTTTCGCAATCAATTATACTAGTCTGAAAATTAGTTATAGGTAAATTTTGTGAAATGTTTTTTACTGTTACGAAAATGTGCTATTATCGATATTATAAATTTTTTAACAGTGGTGGGCGGCCGGTGGATGGGCCGGCTCGGACCGGGGTGGTACCACGACCTCACAGAAAACCAGCGTGAGGTAGAGGTTAACCTCTGCGTTTCGCTTGGTGAGTGCAGGTGGCCGGAGGCCTTTTTTACTGGAAATGAGGCATTCCATCTTAGTCCTCACGCGTGACAACGCATCTACATTTTGATTTGTAATAGAGGATAGATGTAGATGTCTATGGGCCGCAGCAACCACTTACCATCAGGTGGACTGTTTGCTCGTCTGTCACTCTTATCCTATAAAAAAATTTTTTTTGTGGAATATAGGTGATTAACGAGTAAACAGTCTCAACTGATTGTAAGTAAATGTTAAATGATAGTAATGCCTCCTTTCTAGTAAAATGGTCTCCGGTTCTCTATACTCACCATACGAAATACAGCGGTATTAAGCTGCTATTTTACGCTGGTATTCTGTGAGAGCCGACGCATTCGTACTACAACCATAATATAGCTGCTGCGTGGCCCTATCAAGTATATACGATACGGTTGATGTAAGCGTCTGTATTTAATCCCAGTGTGTTTTAGGACACTACAAAAACTACTCTAAGAATAAAGACACTTGCTGCAAAGATACTTTTCAAGCCGAAGGCAGATCAGTGGAAAATTGGCCCAAGGGTGATTCAACTATGCAAATATGGCGCTGCGATGGCCCACAACAGCCGCAACCGATAAATTATGATCCATACAAAATTAGATCACCAGAAGTTGTAGTGCCGCCACTTCCGCCTAGTAATGCAAAGGTATTGATTTTTTTGACTCATTTGAATTGCATTTGCATTTGTTTCTCCGTTACTTAAACAATTTTCCAAAAATGTTTGATCTTAGACAAAATATGCAGTCAATTCCAGTGTAAATCATCATCATCTAGAGTCTATTTAGTGTCCACTGCTGAATATAGGCCTCCTCATCGATGCATAGCCTCTTTGGGTAGAATATTTGCAATAGTTGGCACGCTTGGTAGGCGGGGTGGCAACCGCAGTTTTTTATTTTGAGTTATCAGAAAAATGCTGATACCCATGTATATATAGTATCAATAGCTGATACTCCTGTAACATTTCTTTTTGTCATCGCTTACGGGATGATATCTCTTACAGGATTTAAAAAAAAATTAAATTCCTAGAGTTTCAATTACAGTTCATTTGTTTATTTCGTTTAAGTACTCACCTTTTTATTTTGAGAGTTTCAAACACTTCATCATAGTGCGTTAGACGAAATCAGAGCCCTTGCGTCGAATTAAATATCTAATGAAATCCAGCTTGTGCTTTCTTCATCAGTGGACTGGATTCGTGTTCGTGACTCCTGGCCACCACGGAGGTTATCAACAAGGTTACCACCCCAGTCAACGCACGTACGAACAACCAAATCTAGAAGATCAGAACGTGGAACAAGGCAGTGGAAAAGAAGAGAAACCCAAAGGATTTTTGGGGATGCTAAAAAATATGTTTGGAAGGCGGAAGAAAGAAAAGTCAGAAAGCGATGTGTCAATGATCGGTGTCAGATTACATTAAAACACAATCCCAAAAATGAGAGAATAGCACGAAATGGTAAACTTTAAGTTCGAATTTTTGTGAATTTCGTCCAACGCACTAAAGCAGAGTTCGTCGATGAACTAAACGTTATTTCTTTGACAGGAAGTTCCCAGCGAAGATATGCAGGAGACGGAGGTGTATAAAACGGAAAACAGCTTTGGATTTAACATGCCTTCCGGCACGATTCAGAATTTATTTCATAATTCTCATATTGTCCATCCAGACAATTGGAAAGAAAAATCTTTGGATAAGACGCAGAGGTTGGATGTTGAGGTGGGCCAGGAAATTTTACCACGACTTGGTTACCACGGAAAGAATAAATATAAATATGCATTCCACGAACCATGGAATCCTCTTGATAGATTGACTCTTCTAGCACAAGCTGAAAAAGACGAATCTCAATATTCAGACGAAGTAGTAGCGACAGATAAAACTGACAACGAAATGGGGTAATACTCAAGGGTTCTGATTTCGTATATATAATTAAATAATAAAATAAAAGATAACGTTTGATTTTTGTACAATATTGTCTGGTAAACGAAACGATGATAAATAAATGATCGCTAGTAATTTGCTGTTTCTTTTTTCGCTGTAAAATTCTAAAAATAAATCTAATTTGGCGGTCTCAGACACATTTGGGTTTCTGTTTAGTAATGATTCATATTCTGTTGGTACTAGTTAATGACTTACTTTTTTTTATGGGATAAGGGCAACAAGCGAGCACACAGTCCACTTGATGGTAAGTGGTTGCTGTGGCCCATAGACATCTACATCTATTCACGTTTGCGAATGACATGCAGATGCGTTGTCAGCCGTGAGGACTAAGATGAAATGCCTCTTTTCTAGTAAATATACTATTAATATAGCATTTAGCATGGCTATACCACGTACTTAAATTTGCCTATTATTTACAATAATTAATCTATTCATGCTGATTCATACTTACACACAAATTGTAAAGACACAGGAAAAGCAGTGGAAACAAGATTGACACTGTAAAAAAAAATAAGTAAACCATAGTGCCACACAGAATTTTAGTGTAAAATAGCAGCTTATTGCTGCTGTGTTTCCTGTAGTGAGTGTAGAGAACCGGGGACCGTTTTTACTGGAAACGAGACATTCCATCTCAGTCCTTGGAGTATAAATGTAGATCTATTGGCCACAGCATTCACTTCCCAACAGGACTAATCGTGCATGTTTGTCATAGTCACTCTTATCTATATATATAATATATCTGTAGAAAAGTCGGGTCTGTAATTCTAATATATTCTTGAAAAAATAAGTCCAGGGCTCTAAATAAAGGTTTTTGAATCCAAATTAGTGGTTTTTAGAATTTTTGTCTGTCTTTCTGTCTGTCTGTGTATTCCGGATTCACGCAAAAACTACTGAACCGATTTACATGAAATTTTAAATGTAGGTAGTGAGTAACCCGGGGCAACTTATAGACTACTTTTTATCCGGTTACGGAAATTCAAAAAAGGAAGGTTAAATATTTTATTTCCTTTAGATGTTAATTTTCTATTATATCTTAGTTATAGGCGGGATGACGGGTGTTTTTCAAATATATACCATTGTTACGGCCTAAGGCTGCTCCCATAAAGGTCAAATCCTCAGGGGCCCATTCATCTGAGTTTCGACGAGCGGACGTAGGTCGGGCCTCCTAAGGCCAAAGTGGAAAATCTCTAGTTACACTAAACAATAAGGGGGAGCATTCTGTGGTACGGCCATTCAACAGGGAGAATATTAGACGGAGCTTACTTATCTATATCCAAGGCGACTGGTCCCTCCGGAGTCGGTCAGGTCGCATGTGGTTGTGTAGTGCAAGGGAAATAAGGTGCTGTGATGTGTATCTGGGTGTGACTGATGGTGATTGACCTTAGTAGACCTTGGCCGTCGGCAGCAGCCCTGGCGTCAGCACCGCTCCAAATTGAGGTAATCTTCCGGGGCGCCGTCCACAGTCACTTTCTTCGTTCGTCACGATGACAGTCCATTAACTCTATCGTACGATTAACTAACTTACAGAAGCCACTACTCTCGGTTGTTATAAGGTTAACGCACAATACGAACATGGAGTGTCCGGACCAAAGGTCACTACCGTTTCGCGTAGCAACAGTTATTTCTAGAATATCAAAGGCCGCACTAGCTAATATTGCCGAATGCACTTATAAAGATTCTGAGTCGGACCCAATAAGTCCCGGGAAAGGCTATCCAACAAGGAATGCGCGTTATAAATCCTAGACAGGATATTTATTAGACGCCTAAACTATTCCGCGGTTCCCGCACAAAAATTGACAGCGTGATGGCGTTAGCACAGCTGGCAGACGACTGCTGCGCTTGCGCGTTCTACGCACGACCGAAAGTCAAACCGGTATGGCACCGAGCCGCGCGCCCCCTCGCGTTAGTTCCTTAAATTAGTGTTTGGCGCGGACCATATTTGTAAATAAAGTTTAAAATATAGTTATAATCTTGGTAAAATAATTTGAAACTACACCGATTTGGTATTCAAAACAGCGCCATCTATAATCAAATTGAAAAAGTAGAATATTTTGCCTTCCGTTACTAATAAATGAAATAATATAAATAACTTAGATACATTTGTATGATTAAATTATTACATTTTTAAAATTATTAAAAATCTCTAACGTTTAGGTTTTTTAGTATTTTTGTTATTTTATTTTAAAAGTGTAATAATTTCAATAGATAATAGTGACGTCTATCAACAATATGAAAATTGATAAGGTATTTATTTCAATTACTAAAATATATGTAAAGTGATTAAAAGTGGTCTGTCTGCAATTGTTGCAAAATTTTAATTATCATTATAGTTTTATTCAAGAGATTTTTATGTAAGTCGTGGCCAGATCGTAGAATTAATCATCTATACAAATAAATAAAATTGAAGTGTTTGTTTGCAATGCTAAAATAACAGCTTTTTACTAAATGCATATAAAAGTATATACTGTACTAATAACGAAAACACAATTTTTTAAATTTTTGTCTGTCTGTCGGTCTGTCTGTCTGTCTGTTCCGGCTAATCTCCGAAACGGTTGGACCGATTTTGACGGGAATTTCACTGGCAGATAGCTGATGATATAAGGAGTAACTTAGACTACTTTTGTTTTAGAAAAAGAATTAGGGTTCCGCGCAAACAAATGAAAACCCATGAAATACAAATACCACGCGGGCGAAGTCGCGGGGAACAGCTAGTCTAATATATAAAACTTAATTTTTCTTTATTCGTATTTTATGCGCTGCCATACCCTTCATCAGATTGTAGTAAAACTTTGTCAACTTATTGCTTGCACTTGTGCGAGGGTTATAGGAATAGTACAATTAAGGCCCATAGCACACGGCGTATTTAAAACGCGCAGATGACGCGCAGATTACGCGCGTATACGCGATTCAAACGGGATTCGATCGCAACCTTGTAACTGTAAGCACACGGGGCGATCGTGAAACGCGCCTCTACTGCGCGTATACGTGTAGATACAGCGATACAGACGCGCTGTAGTCGCTCGTAGATTTTGCGTTTTTCAGATCAGTGACTCCTTCAGTTGTACAATGGCGTCGGTTGAGACAACACTGCTTACGTTGGCTTTAGTACTTCTTTTAAAAAGAAAAAAATGTAAAAAAAAGCGAATCTATTGGATAGACCCATTTACGAGTGAAAAAAGATTGAGTGGTCATTATCATACAACGTTTAAAAAATTGGTAATACATAGAAGATGGAAGAAATTTTATAAGTGTTATCGAATGTCATATTCGTCATTCCAAGAACTTCTTTTGATTCTAAAACCGGAGTTAACTCGTCAAAATACAGTAATGAGATCATGTATATCGGCAGAAGAACGTTTGCTCATCACATTGAGGTAAGAAAACAACTAGTATTTATTTATTTATTTATTATGTATTTATTTATTTATTGACCTGTTACAGTTTTAAATCAATCGTAAAATGTTATAAGTGCACTTAGATTATTAATAAGAGAAAAATATTTATTCAATATCATCATACATATCAGATATGATATCGGAGTCATTTGTAACCGATTCATTGCTATCCAAATTTTGGAGTGAACTGACAGATTGTGAACTGACAGATTCGTTTCTTGGCGCTGATTGATTACTTGGATATTGAGGCTGAAATTCAGACTGATATCCAGACTGGTATCCATACTGACGTTCATATTGAAATGCACCTTGGTATCTATTTTCATGTAATGTTCTCGATGACTGTCCCATATTTTTATATATACGAATTAAATTTATCATATCAGCTTTGGCCTCTAACTTAAATTCCTCTTTGATGGCCGAAAAATCTTTAGCTAATGAAACTAAGAACCGTATGTCGAGATTTTCAGATAAAATTGTATTATTCGCTTTAGACTGTTTGAGATTTGCTGTCAGTGCTTCATACGAGGGTGGATTGAAAAGTACTCGGCCTAACCAAGAAAATAAACAAATACTAAATCAGTTATATTTTTATTTTTCTACATAATCACCATCAAGTTCAATACACTTTTGCCACCTCCCCTTCCAAGCATTTAGACCGTTGAAAAAAAATGATTCTTCCTTAGAGTCAAAATATGCGTCTACAGCTGCTTTGCCCTCGTCGTTTGTCGAAAATCTTTGACCTCCCAAGTGCTTTTTTAGGTTAGGGAACAGAAAGAAGTCTGATGGTGCCAGATCAGGTGAATACGGCGGATGCGGTAACAGTTCAAAGCAACAGTTGTGAATTTCAGTCATTGACTGTACTGACGTGTGAACACGGGCGTTATCTTGATGAAACAGGACTTTTCTTCTGATCATTCCTCGACGTTTTTCTTTTATTTCCTCTCGTAAACGACGTAGTAAGGTGCAGTAGTAATCAGAGTTTATATTCTGACCCCTTTCAAGATAATCAATCATAATCACACCTTTCGAGTCCCAGAATACTGAAGCCATCACCTTATTTGCCGACAAAATCGACTTAGCCTTTTTAGGGGGTGGTGAACCAGGTCTTCTCCACTGTTTTCATTGTTGTTTTGTTTTCGATGTACAGTAATGAACCCATGTTTCGTCCATAGTAACAAAACGATTCAAAAAATCATCTGCATCGGCTTCAAATAACTCCAAACAGTCGCGTGAAATAGTCAATCGCGTCCTTTTTTGTTCAACTGAAAGCAGTCGCGGAACCCACCTCGCAGACACCTTGTGGAAACCCAACTCGTTGACAATGATGTTTTGAGTTCGTTCATAAGAGATGCCTATAATCTCGGCTATCTCTCTAATTTTTAATCTGCGGTCTCCCATTATTAAATCAAGTACTTTTTTAATATTTTCGTCAGTAGTTGACGTCGAAGGCCTTCCAGAGAGGGGTTCATCTTTCACACTCTCTCTACCACGCTTAAATTCTGCTATCCATTTTTTGACAGATAAATATGACAGAGCACAATCGCCTAATGTACTGACCAT